AAGATTTCGTGGGAATCCCTTTCTGCGCAAGTCTTTTGTACAGGATAAATCGATCTACTGAATCGAACGCACTCTTGAAACCGAGGAACACAGCCATTGTCGGTCTGCGGTATGCGTGGTACTACTCTGCCATCTGCTTGAAAGTGCATACATGGTGTAACCAGACCCGTGCATGGCGGAAACCTGCCGCCTCTTCCTTAATCCGGATTCCCGCTCCTCAGTGAGATGACGAACGCGATTTGGGGCCAGTACTTTGATTAAAACTGGCGTTAGGCTAATACCGCTGTGATCAACACAGTCTGTGCGACTGTCGTTCTTGTATATTGCCACTAAAATCGATTCACTCCAGTTAGCCGAGATGGTCTCTTCCCTCCAGACATGTTCGAACAAAGAGGGTATTGCTTTGCAAAGGACCTCACTACTATCCCTAAATAGTGAAGGTGGGAGGGAATCCAGTCTATCAGCACAAAAACGACTGAGGGCTGTGATCGCGTATCAGACCTCAGCCTCAGACGAAGCTTATACATTAACCGCCTGTGGCTCAGCCTGCACCACCTGAGGAGGATGGGGTCCAAGAACGGGGGATAAACCAGACTGACATCGAAGCTGCCCTGCCCAACGACCCTACAACACTCCTTATTGTTATTTGGGACATCCTCTTTGTCACTGATTGTTTCACTGACGCCCGGTTTTCTGGAACTTTCTGTGCGGAACACTTGGAAGAACTTGCGACAACTGCCCACTGCCCCTGCTCCCTCCATTTCTTGAGCCCAACTGGTTGACCAGGCTTTCTTGTCTGCACGTGTGTTGCGTTTTATTTCGCGCTTAATGTTTCGTCTGATCATATTGTGCTCAGAGCCAGCCGGAAGTTTCCTTCTGCATTCCAACAAGTTTATTGACCTCTCGGATATCCAGTGACTGATGAGGTGAAGAATGCTAGTACACAAGTAGATACATTTGCATCGCGGCCGAGGTCCTATTCCTTTGAGGCTAAGTATCATTTGGACATGAGAGCGAAAGTTCGGGACGAACAGCATCCGAATGGGCTTACCTGACCGAGAACTGAGATAACTTAGCAGTATTTAAGGTATTCATCCCAGTAGTTCACAAGCTACATAGCACAGCTTAGTCCGGGAAAGCACCAGACATGTTTCACTCTATTGGGGCTCGTTAGTGATGCGCATTCCCTCGGTCCCTCAGGGGGAGCGAATCTATAACCGCTAGAGGCCGATGTCAACTAGTCACAGCCCAAGCCATTGAGCCGTGGGAGGCTTTTACTTGTCTACTTCATTTGCAAACTAACTGGGCAATAGAGCCACTTATCTTCCACTGTCACTGACAGTGGTTAGTCTGTGAGGTGACGTCCTCTCGCTAGACGCTATATCTATAGCATTTAAACTAGTAGCGGCTATTTATTTTATATTACCTGGATTTTAGTTGTAATACCTCGCGTACCTAAAAAATTACAAATATATCCTGCTACTTACGAGTAACTTAGCAGCTGCCAATCGATGAAGACATGTGATACATCCCCGGTAAAGTTCGTGGAAAAACAACATCGTACTAAGACATGAACAGAGTCGACGCGAGTACTCCAGACGGAGCAACAATCCAGATTGGAATCACACCACCTATAATTTATGGCAACGTATCCCTTTGAGTCCGTCGCAGGCAAACTATGGGTGGACACCAAATGGAACTTTGGCGACGGCTGCGACTAAAAGCGGTGCTACTAAGAAACAGACGGTGCTCTGCATATAGATGTAACAGACGCTCGTCATCGTTCATTTGTTTGTGGTTTAACATATAATTACCACCTAGTCGAGCTTCTGAACCGCCCAGGCGACCTACTTACACATTCATACCTACAACAAGAACTATGATATCTGAACTGGTAACAATGCGAAGCAGGGTATTCGGTTCGTCGTGGTGAAAGGCATCAGAACATGTAATCGGTGCGAGCACAAGTGGAAACGATTAACAAACAGCGTCTTGCACTGCTTCGTGTAACAATCTTAGTTGATGTCACCAGGTGGGAATACAAGGTGGAATTCGCTAACTCTCTGTGAATGCAACGCTACTGAGGTTCGTGAGGTCCGTGAAACAAAAGACTTTGTATCCACGAATCGGAGTAGACTTGCTGAGCATCCGATTGGCTCGTAACTTTCTGGATTCTTATTGGCTTTGGACAGTCGCTTGCCTTCAGTGGTCTGGTTGTCTTGTACTGTTAACATCTGGCCCTTTTTACGCCATATGAACAGTGCCATTTTACTATGAGATAAACCCCGAATCATGCTCCTGCTAGTTCGTACTCGTACCACCGTAAATAAGCTGAAGCAGTTACTGGGCCTGTAAACCTTACACACAGCAGTGCCGTTCATAAATCCTGGATTAAATATGTTTCTACAAGATGCTCAAAATCTAGGATCTTGATGTTTATAATGAGTGTAATAGGATGGATATCCAGTAGGCACACTTACTGTTTACCATTCACCACGACGGTGGTTATGTTGTACTTCGCAAATAACTGCTCCAATTTCTCCATTACTCGAGAAATCCTGTAAGTTGTGTGGAATCAAAATGGGAAATGTAATTTGCAATGGGAGTACAAGCGCCGAATTTATCATTTCCTGTTCACAAACACATAAGTTGTTTGTTTGTTTGTTATATGGGTTGATGTTGGGAGCTTTTTACATGCGACTAAACTACCGTTGCGCTACCTGCATCAACATCTGCTTACGCTTTACACTGATTCCTAATTACAAGTTACGTGCAATCTGGAACTGAAATTACTTGTTTTACGCACATGGCGCGCTCAGGATCTTCCGCATGGGGAAGAGTGAACTTGCTCCTAAGTGGATGGAAGTCGTGTTTCCTGCCCGAAAACAATACACTACCCTAAGCGTTTCAACCCCGTTTGCACGGATCAAGCGGAGCTGGCAGGCATCCAAACCGGGGCTTTTGGGGTGTTTTCCGAAGCCACTACCCCGTCTCTCCTAAGCTACCGAGTTGCAGTGGCCAGCGCTTGTCACAACGGTTAACAGATTATGAGTTGGGTCCTCTGGAAGCACTCGTTGTACGAATTGTTTGCAATACACAATCTCAAGGTGAACCACATTTCACATAGAAGTGTGCATTATTCAATTCGAGCCCTGCGACCGTCGCTGAAGGAGATGGAAATTTCTTATTGATCTCATGTAACTACTTGAATTGATCTGACTAATCGGAACACAATGTGAATTAGCGATTAATGTGAAGAAATCTGACCACAATTCCTGACCAACCCTCGTTCTACCATCGAGACAGGACTCGACCATAACGTGGTGCGATGGTTTGCGTGCCTCAGTGATCCACTGAATTTTGCTGGTTGGTGCTTTTTCACCTCTTCAGAATCCCTAATATCAGAATGGCCAATGGTTAGAGGCCAGATAAAGCTCAGTCTCCTGATCTTCCAGGTTGGGATTTGGAGTGTGGGTAGTTCCTTACTCTCAAAAACGGGCTCTCTGTAGTCCAGCACTAAAACCCCGTTGCTTTGCGGTAAGGTTTTTGAACCAAAGACTTTGGTTGAGAACCCTAATCATTGTTCTGTCTAGACCCTGGCAACCTGACATTATTCTACCCACGCACTACAATGAATCATCCTACTAACAATTTACTGATGCTATGTGACTGCTACATACGTAAACATTACCAAAGCGCTGTACGCGCATTGTTTAAGCAAAATGGGTGTTTATGGTAAGCTGTCGCCACCCTGCAGTATCCCCAACATTGGGAGACAAGGTTGCCTGCTATCACCTTTCCTCTTTAACGTCGCTATTGATGAAGTCATGGAAACGGCGTTCGCTGAACATGACCTAGAAGGTGTGGAGCTACTTCCTGGTGAGCGACTTCTTGACTTGGAGTATGCGGACGACACTACCCTAATCTGTGACAGCTCCCAAACATGCCAATCAGCACTGGACCGATTAGCACTGGCTGTCTATCGTTTTGGGCTATACTCTGCTCCATCGAAATGCAAAGTACTTCTCCAAGATTGGCAGGGACCCAACCCAGCGCTAACGCTTGGTGGTGATCTGCTAGAACTCGTTCAGGAATTCAAGCACTTGGACAGCTTTATTAGCGCTCCTGGGATCGAAGATGAGGTTACGAACCGTATATCAAATGTTCGAGGTGCTTTTGCCAATCTCCGCCATCCGTGGCGCGGACCCGACATTACTCTCGCCCTGAAGGGCAGAGTACATAACGCAGCCGTCCGTTCAACCCTCCTATATGGTTGTGAAACTTGGCGCATCAGTTCGACAGATATAAAGAGGCTCGTCACATTCGATCATTGCAGCTTAGCTCATGTCTGGTGGGAGCACCGCGTGAGCAATGGGCGTGTTCGACGTCGCGTATTTGGTGCAGGAAGAGCGTGTGAACCGCTCAGCATCATTATGTCACGCACCACGCTACGATGGCTGAGCCACATGTTACGCATGCTAGCACCCCGCTTCTCGCGAGGTGCATTGTTGTGCACCCGGGTGTGCGGTTAGAAAGAAGGAAGGGAGGTCGAGCGATGATTTTCCCGAGAGGAATGAAAACCCACATACTGAAACTGGCGTTGGTTGGTGCATTCCGACTGCCTGGCTGGAGTCCCAAGGACAATGAACACGTTTGGTTGGACATGCTAGCTGATATGGCTAGGAGTCGGCCCCAATGGCGTTTGTGTTGCGAAGTTATGTGTCCATCCCGCTCTAATCCCGATCTCATGTAGAATGTGTAATATAATAGTTAACATCATATTTTTGCAGTGTAATTCGTATACTTTGTGTTGTATTTTTTAGTCGCATATCTTTCGTATTGCGGAACATTATGTAAGGTGTGTTTCTCACCCTTAGCTAACGTGTACTGATAATGTTGATGATGTACCCTCGTCATGGGTGTACAAGGTGTACTTCATCAACACTTTTTGAATAAACTGCTGCTGAACATCAGGAGATCCGTGAAACGGAAAATCGGGCATCCACTAATCATATTACGCTCACCAACACAGCGGTAATGTGCTTTCAAAAGGCCGCTTTGACTCTGTTACGACCAAGTTTTGGAAGGCTTCGCGGACCGATACGCGAGTCATTTTACCGAGAGTAGGCAATGGTTCAAGAAATGATTGGGCCTATACATGGATGAAAGGTGTTCATCCTAAATCATTTCCAGCTAATTTTGCTATTTCACTTGCCGCAAGCGGATTCAGCACATTGTATTGTGACTGACTCAAGATTACAGCTTGGAAACGATCAAGTTTATACAATGTGTGCGTGTATTGGAGGACTTGCCTGGGCCACAGACGACTGTAGTGTTCTTCAAAGTCCTGAAACGCAGCACATCGTCGATCAAACACTCCGCATTCGACGCGTAACCAGTGTAATGTGTCATCTTCCATGTTAGGTGCAGGGGTCGATGGTGGTTGCTGAAGCGTAATCGAACGGAAACCAGTAAAATAAAACATTAAAAAGATAAATAAATGGCCAGCTGCACGCCGTAACGGCGCTTTGCTGTCACGCGTCCACCAACAGTCTCGCGTGGGAAGAGTATACCGCGTGGACGCTCGCCCCTACGCGGATTCGCGCCGGTGACCTTATGGTTGCAAACCTGACGCGCATACCACTCGGTCAGGGGCCGACCGGGAACCAGTAGGTAGGTGGCGTCTACGCTTCTTGCATACATTTCGGGTGGTGGGAATTTGCCTCGCCCTGGTTCTGTTTTATTGTTTATGATATACAAAATTTTATGCCATCTACGGAAAATGTAGTATCATAGTCTCTGGGTTGTTCCACATTCAGACAGAGTTAATTTGAGTCCTATGTTGCAGTGTCAGGCACAATGTGGGAGGCTTATTACCAAATATCGGGCATCCAGCGTTAGGGCATAGATGAAACAAGTACAATGGATCCAAGAGAATTAAAAACACGTGGAAGGTTACATATTTGACCAGTTAATGCTGTAAAGCAGTAGGAAATTTCCATTACTTGCCGAACAACCTTCTCGTGGTGCCAGTTGGGGGTTTCAGGATTTTCCCGTTCCAGCGAATGGTTCAGCGGCAGTGTTCCAGGACGTGATAGGTTTTCGCCTGACAAGCGTTCTCCCTATATAGAGCCATATATGTCCGTTGAACAACAGTGTGACGTGGCGGACGTGACTCGGCACTAAATAAACTCACTGCCCCTTGCTTCATCCTGGCGAAGCATTGTATTCCAGCAAATTTATGCTGTATTTCTGAGGAGCATTGGGCCCTGGTTGACAAACGAACAAACGAAAGGCGTATGAACTGAGCAATCAGTCACCGGCTCCCAATGGGTGCGATTCCCTGAATTCGCTCCGCTGCCTTGCGGGCAGGCTATTCAGCCAAAGGCTCGGGGTAGTGTCCCCTAAGTCAACACACTACTTCGGCTTGGGCAACCGGGGAGTAGCTCGCTCTCCGACAAAACCATGGACATTGTAGTTTTGTGTTTTCTGTTACTATTTCTGTAACTTCTTTTGAATCCCATGGTTTCTGATGGCTTTATGTTTCTTCGCAGACCTTTGCAAATATGTATACATCATCCTACACGAATGTCGGTTAGAAGTGAGACTACGAGGATTCCTCTCCGAAGCAATTGTGGTGGAGTGCACTGTACCACCAGACTCGGTGCTCGAGCCCCGTCTATTCATGATTTCCATAAACGATCTAGCGAGGGAAATTACTTCCGATTCCCTATTCTTTGCAGATGATATCCAGTTATGACGAGCGAGCGAAGAACCGAGTGATCATAAAAAGCTCCAAGGTGACCTCAACACGATTTCAATCTGGTCAGTTCCGAATACCCTACTGTTCAATGTGGAAAACTAACATGTTGTTTAATTGCGCCATAGGCTTGACTACAGTATATAAGCTTGGGTCACACGTACTGCAAAGCACTTCCCAAGAACGCAACCTTGGTGCGCTCATTCAAAGTGAAGTTCACTGTCTAAAACAGTCACACACAGCTGCGGTGAGAGCCAACCAGCACTTCGACTTGCTGCAGGGAGCTTTTGGAAGTTTCGGCCCATCCATCTTCCCCATGATGCACAATTCTCACCTGCGCCATCACGTTGAATACGCCATCCAATCTTGGAAACCATGGTTGAAGCGCGACTTAGAAGTACTAGCGAAACCCCAACGCAGGGCCACAAAGAACGTCAAGCGCCTACGAAATCTGTCCTCCCATCAAAGGTTGAAATCACTGGGAGTTTTCATTGGCCACTACCGAAGGCTGCGTGGAGATCTCATATTAGTCTATGAACTTGTGAACTAATGGGACGAATACCTTAAAAGATAAATATTGTGTGACCATAATCACGTATGCCGTCACTTGTTGAAACTCAGCCATGACACCAATCTCAGAGGTAACCCTCTGAAATTGTGTGCACGGTATAGTTACTTAGAATGCCGGAGGAATTACTATTTTTTTCGGGTTTTGCCAACCATGGGACTTTATGCCAAACTTCGTTGTTTCCGCCCCACCTTTGATATTTTCAAAAATCCACTAAACCACGCCCTTGGTCCAGAGCTATTTGTTGCCTATACTAGGATAACAGCTATTAGACATTTATTTATTGTGAATGAGCTTGATAGCTATTCTTTACTCTTCCTACTTTCTATTTCTTGACTGGTGTTTAAACGCTCTACTGGGTTCGCCCGATTGGTACATCCGCGTCATTGTTAATGGACGCTCATCGTCATACCCTTCTCAGCAGCGCTGTTTGCAAGGACATATTCTATTGATTTTTTTCTTCTCATCACTGTTCTACTTGGTTAGGTTAAAGGAATATTTAGTGTCACACAATTATTGTACTAGTTTACAACTTTTGGGTCTGCGTTCCTTATTCGCGTTTGTTTCGTGCCTTTTGTTTAAACGTTTCATTTCGTCATTCTGATTGGCCAGTGCCCGTCACTGTAAATGGTCGTTCACTTTATGCTTGGAGTCCAATGATGATATTCTTAAGGACCTACGCGATTCGCTCTTACGTACACGGTTGCTTATTCGCTGTTGCATTTTACGTTTTCCCTTCAGTTGGTTGGCTCAAGTGTACTTTAGTAGCTTCCCTTCATTTTGCCTTCAAACTATATAAGCAACTGTGGTTTCATGTATACAAGTCTCATTCTGGCTCGTCTTGGACTTCTTCTTGCGGTCGTGGGGTGAAGGCGTCAGCGGCGATACAACATCCTAAACGGTGCTACTTTGGAATTTATTAAATATCCCTCCTAACCGGATTAACATGTCACTTATACCTAAGGAGGCGGTACATCAGTGGGTATGCTTGTTTTTACCTTTCTCACGGAATCCTTCAACTGTAACTGTTCCCATATTGCCTCATCCTTCGCCATCAAGTCTTACTCACACCACTATTATTCAGCAGCGTATCTGCTAGATAAACGCTCAAACAGACAACCCATACATCTTTTGATATTATAGTTTATCCCCACCAACGTGCGGGACTTTTCATGCAATTGCATTTTTACCCGGCATAAATAATTATTCATTGATTATTGTTCTTGCTCGGCCGAAGTTTTCACACCACATTTCGTATACAATGTACATAGAACACGACCTAGTGGCCCGCTTGCTACAGCCAAGCGTGAAGTCGAATCTACAAGCAGGAGATATTGAAGGCATGTGGTAAGACCAAGCACGAAATTGGTGCAAATAAACATTGTGAAAGGTGTCAGTACTCGTTGCGTTCGGCCAGCGTTGGATCAAGCGAGCGAGAGAGCAAACCAACTTGCCCGTCTGAATGTACACAACACGGACGTCCGGCTTTGTCAAATTGGTGTGAGGGGTAATCCTGTTTTAACGAAACGACTTACAGTGCGAAGCCGTGGCGTATTCAGACTCGCAGTTCACCGACTCTGTTTGGTGCCGGTTGCAGTTAAAAGGCAGGGACGCTTGCCTTATTGTCTTGGTGTACCGCGCCCCTAACTCAACACGTGAAACCGACTACCAACTAGTGGTTGCTTTAAGGTGCAGTTTACAACAAAAGTACTCTCACCTTCTTATCATGGGTGGTTTCAATGTACATTGTTGAGAAGCCCCTGCCACGATCGGGGAACAATTCAAAACCGACCTACAAGATCTAGTAACTACTGTTCCTCTTTACAATCACATCACTTTGCCCACTCGGTTCAGAACTGGTAACAGGCCATCTGCGCTGGATCTTGTGCTTGCCAACGAGGAGAATATGATTGATGCGTTGGTTTTAGACTGCCCGTTGGGTCACAGTGCTCACGCAGTCATCAGTTTCAACTTCATCTGCTATTCAGAATATCTGAATGAAAACCATGAGACGGTGCGTACCATCACAAAGTACGACCGACTCGCACAGCTCGTCAGCGCCACAACGTGGTCTTTCCTCGAATAAGAACCCCCAGAAGTAGCCTGTCTTGAATTCGTCAAAACATTCAGTCAGCTGGTTGCACAGTCTTCAGAGATAAAAGCTTGCAATGAGTGCAAATCAGTTTCTTTCGTTAGGAGCAGAACTCGAAAATGGATGACAGTACGCAACGCAGCATGGCGAGTGTACAGAGAAGCTCCAGCATAAGAAACTTGGGACAACTACGTAGCCAAACGTAACCACTGTACTCAACTGTTAAGAGAAGACAAAGCCGCCTATCAGCAGAACATCGCAACAACCTTCAGCACTAACCACAAACTGCTGTACAAGCACGTTAATAGCCTACGAAAGGTTAGGCAAGGATTTCCTCCACTCAAGAAGGCTGATGGTCCAACATGAACGACTGTGGAAGCAGCAAACGCGCTGCAGATGCAATACGCCCCCACGTTTCAAAGAGTCCTGCCACCAAGCGATCTACCAAGCTTTGTCTTCTGCTCGCCAGGACTAACCCACATCAATTTTACCGCAGAGGCTGTATTGCAAAAGCTGACTTCTCTACGCAAACACAGCTCGCCGGGTTTCGACACCATTCGTCCAGAGGCATTGGGAGTAGCAGCAAGCCAACTGGCAGGAACTTTAGCTCAGCTTTTCCAGCGCTGCTTAGACCGGAACCAAGTCCCCGCCATGTGGAAGCTTGAAATAATAAGCCCGATTCACAAAGGTGGAAACGGAACTGATACCTCCAACTACCGCCCAGTATCCCTTCTTCCTATACTCTCCAACATCATGAAATCCATAGCTGTCGATGCACTGGTGTGCTATCTCGACAACTGCAACCTCATCACTCCTGAACAACACGGCTTCCGTCGACAGCCGTCATGTACATCGAATTCACTAATTGCACGCAGTAGTTGGACTACGGCAGCTGACACTGGAGAAGTTGTTGATGTGATCTACCTGGATTTTTCCAAGGCTGTCGATCGTCTAGACCATCGGATACTACTATCCAAGCTGCAGCATTACGGGGTCGGCGACCCTCTTTCAAGCTGGATTGCCAACTTTCTACTTCAACGGCAATTAGTGGTCAGAGTTCGGAGCTCTCTATCGAACCCCATACAAGTCGAGTGTGGTGTGCCACAAGCCTCAGTTCTAGGTCCACGTTTGTTTTCGGTGTTTGTTAATGACCTTGCACAAGGAATCGCTTCAAACTTCCTAATGTTTGCCGACGATATCAAAATCTGGCGCAGGATCTAGGCGAACGCCGACCAACATGTGCTTCAGTGTGATTTAGATACGGTGTAGCAATGGTCGACCCAAAACTTATTGCATCTCAACGTCAGTAAATGCAAGGTGCTTTCCATCCGACATCAGAGCAGCTACTCATACCGACTCGGAACGAATATACTACAACAATCAACCCTCGAACGTGACTTGGGTGTCCTGGTTCAAGATGACTTAGGTTGCGCCAGGCAATCCGAAAAGGCATCGAAGACCGGGAACCAACACGTCGGGCGTTTGAACAACTAAACAGCTCCATATTTCGACAAATGCTCAGTGCGTATGTTCACCCCCACGTCGAATACGCAATCCAAGCCTGGCATCCATGGTTGAAACACGGCCTTAATGCAATGAAGCAGCCACAACGCCGGGCATCTAAGAACGTAATTGGAATGCGCAGTCTTTCCTACCAGGAGAGGCCGCAACGACTGGGATTATACAGTGGAAGCTATCTCGACGAGGCGACCTGATTATGGCATACTGGATTCTGCGAGACCCACATCATGTGTGCCGCCCTTTACTGCAACTCAGCAGCAATATATATCTGAGTGGCCACTCATTAAAACTCGCAGAACAATACAGTCGTCTGCAGTGCCGCAGAAATTTCTTTTCCATTCGTGTCTGTCACCCGTGGAATGCTCTCCCAGAATCGGTTTTCTCTGCACCGACACTAACAGTATTTAAAAGACGGTTGAACGATGCACTCATTCACTTACACTTTGCCACTTAACACTATGTCTCCATCCTACACCTGGAGTTTACCATGGAATTATTTGTTGTTAACTTTGGGTGCTGTGAATCTAAAAGGATCGCAAGACTGCGGCGAGGCCAACGATAAGTCCTTTTTTCCCTATGTAAAGTATTAACTATTTAACTATCCTTATCATCATTATTTTTACGTTGATATCCCTACCACCTATCTAACGGGATTTGTAAAGCAACGCTTTTTAACCCTCATAAATTCATTGTTGTTCATTGTTCATTGTCTATCAAGTGCTCCGAATGTTCGATTGTATCAGACAGAATCGTTTTCGCAATTAACAAGACTCGTTTCCGTAAATAATAGATTATTCACATCTACCAGTAATCTGTTTGAAGTTTCTGAAGACCACTCAGACGTCGTACCGTTTCATGAGGCTGAAGTTAAGTGGAGACCAAATGAGTGTTGGGTTAAGAATTCATTTCGACTAAACTGCCATCGGATCCAAAAATGCACAAGGCAGGAATTGTGTCTCAATAGCGTCTAAAGGAACTGGAATTGATATTTTTGGTTGTTTGAACAGTCATTATTCTTTTTTATTCTACATCATTGTTACTTCTTCTACTGCGGATATATCAGTTTTGTTAACATTTTGAGACTCTTTTTATCCAAACTGCTCCCAATGTCTTACGCGCCATATGTTGAGATACCGCGCACGGGTCGCGGTTCGCTGTTTTTAGTTACAACCTTTTAGGCCAATTGAAGCCAGTTACAAAGAAAGGTCGTCATAAAATGCTAAGTTGTTAGCTGAAAGCAAATCCCGAATATTCTGCATAGCGATAAGGGCTCATTGCTCAAGGATGCTGGTCTGTTGACTCCAATGACACAAGTGCATCCTTTTCGCTTTTCGCCCCCCAGTTATAACATTTGCCTTCAGAGGTTGTCATTTTACCTATCCGCGCTTGATAAGATAAATTGCTCTGGGATATAGAAACAAATGTTGGTAGCTCAGGTTGTTCAGTTGGTAATCTGAGTGTTCGCTGAGCTCGGCATGTTGACTGCAACGTTTCGTCACCACTCGAGGTGACATTGTCAGTGCGCGTTTAGTTAGCAGAGCGGCGCGTACGAAGCGTCAGTGAGTGTGAGTGATCGATCTCCTAGCCGCTAGTCTGAGTTGGGATTGTTCGACGAGCACATGACCATCGAAATCGATCTCTGCTTCTCACCTCGTAGTGTACGCGCAAGTGAGGTTGCAGTTGTCACCTCGAGTGGTGACGAAACGTTTGCAGTCAACCTGGCTAGCTCAGCGAACTCTCAGACGACCAAAATGCTCTGGGTACAAATGGAATTCGCTGAGACGGATGGTTGTGCAATCCTCTGGTACTTATTGACTCTAATGCGGGGATACACTGATGTTGTCTTGGATAGTTTATTCGACGTGATGAGATGGAAAAGCGCTGAGCATCAGGATACATTTACTGTTTCGAAACTCCCAAGTGTCATCCAAAAATCATTCCACCCATCGAGCAAATGTTGTATGAGTTCACCCTATTCGTGTTCTTGCAAAGAATACCACAAGTTAAAACTCCCTACGACAATAAGTGAAAATCACTAAGGGTATACTTGGACAACTATGCGTCATCCGCGTTGCATAGCAACCTATCATTGAAAGGCAATTTAAAGATCCCATCGGAATTGTGTCAGAGTACCGTGAAGATTATGTATACTGACGCGATAAGTCCTGCTACGTTGCTTTAGAATGTCTGGAGTAATCTTGGCATTCGCAATCGAGTTGAATAGGGCCGGATATTGTCACTCATGTCATTGATCAGACTACTCAGTCTGACAGTGCCTACATCTGTCGAGTAATAAACCATTTTTCTTTCTTGTTAATGATTTATCATTGGTCTTAATCATATTCTGTGAGGAAATTTGTACACCCCTTACAGGCACCGAAGGATAATTGTATTAAGCTACAAGCATTCGAGTGATCAATCTCTTTCGAAAAGTCAGGGCAGATGATAACGACTGATATCTCATCGCCAAATGACTTCGTGTATCTGTTGCCTGTACTTAGCTGGTTTACGCCACATGATCCACGTTGAGATGAAACCGCACTGGTAAAGTGCGATGATACCGGGTCGTATCAATACATCCGAAATGATAGCACGATAACCTTCCCGACCCAGTTGTTTTACACGAGTTAAACAACTCGACCCAAACCTCGTTTTGTGTCCAGCACCTATTTGTATTTAGTTCCCCATGAAAAACATTTTCGGTCCTGAGTTCAGAGAGGTTTGGAAACAATCGGTTGGTGCATTTTTTTCCAAACCTCTCTGAACTCATGACATCTCGATGGGTTTCAAGCATGTTCCAAGACTTCGAAACACTTTTCGGTTATTAAATGACAACTCCAGCAAGCTGTAAAATGATGCATAAGCGCAGAATTCAAAGTTTGTGATGCAGTTTAAAGTATGAGGGAAGCAATGCTTTTAAGACAGAAGTGTTTGTTCAATTTGCATTCTGAGGTAATCTTGGGGGATGCATCGGATACTGAAAGAGCAAGGAAGATCCGATGATGTGTAGATTATTAAGTCGGTTTAAAACTCACCTTTGGTAATTGGATTTCAGTCACAGGTGTTGACTGTAAAAGAAAAGATGTTGGCTATAGTAAAGAGATAACTGACAGTTTTCATCAACTTGACTGTTCATCTGGTACTGTTATCTCCTGCTTTAAATCTTAAACGTCAGAATCATGTCATTGGTGCAAACAGAAGGAAGTCGTGAAGCCGTGCGCTAATGGATAACCAATGTCTAGCGGCGCAAACAGAAAGTGTTCAAGGATGAAGCACCCCGAACAAGTGCTTTGATAGCATAAATGAAATGAATTAGACTGAATCATAGTTGGCGGCATCCAGTTTCGCATTTGCTTGTCACTGTGGTCAGCCACAGGACGCCTGCGCCCACAGAGGGACCATGGTTGGCTTGCGCTGCAGCACACACCCCATATCCAGTGTAAACCCGAAGGAATAAGACCGGGAGGCATGCGGATGGGAGCCACGTTTCATCAACGGAGCCGGCCCACACTCCTTCACAGGCAAACACAAGCACGCTGTATTTGGGGAATCAAGCGCACACAAGGCGGTGGTTGGACCGTAGTGTGCTCCACTCTTCTAGCTTAACACGGCCACAAGGTCCGTGTATCCCGTCCACTCCAGCAATGACTAAATGTCTCCTGGAGCCAGTATGGACGAGGTAGTGGGTAATAGACAGGTAGGCACCTTGTCAACATGCACATCAAGCGCAGCCACACCGGGGATGTCAAACAACAGCAATCACTTAAAATGACATTATCAAATAACATATATAAGTTAAAGAATACGGTTATGCAGACATAACTCTCCGCTAAATTAGCATATGAAGAAAGTTGGTTAGCAACGAATCCGCGATAAGTAAAAATGTCCACGTTATTTACAAATGCTACAAATGCAACAAAGTTACCGAAGATAAGTGCAATTAGCGTAAGCAACGTGGCCATTTAATAAAGGATTATTCAGGTAGGCAGAACAAACCAAATAAAGTGGAATGAATTTTATCCACATTAACAAGACCTAGTTTAAGTGAAAACTGGTTTAGCCCAACTGCGGTGAAGTAGCATCAAGAATGCAACATCAGCCTCAACATGGGACACACATACATATATGATTGGCGGCAACCGGTTTCCGATTTGCCTGTCACTGTGGCCAACCACAGGACGCCTGCGCCTACAGAGGGACCATGGATGGCCTGCGCTGCACCACCGAAAACTCTAACCACACACCCCATATCCAGTGTAAACCAGAAGGAATAAGACCGGGAGGCAGGTGGATGGGAGCGACGTTTCATCAATGGAGCCGGCCCACACTCCTTCACAGGCTAAAACAAACACGTTGTATTTGGGGATCAATCGCACAAAAGGCGGTGGCTGGACCGTAATCTGCTCCACACTGAGTGCATGGAACCACTCTTCGAGCCTAGCACGACCACAAGGACCTTGCACCCTGTCCCCTCCAGCAACGACCAAATGTCTCCTGGAGCCAGTATGGGCGAGGTGGTAGGTAATAGACAGGTAGGCACCTTGTCAATATCCACATCAAGTGCAGCCACACTTGGGATGTCAAACAACAGCCAATCATTCGAAATGCTGGTAACAAATAAAAGATATCAAATAAAGTCAACGTATATGGAGACATAAATACTCGCTAAATGAGTGTTTGCAGTAAATTTGTTATAAGCGAATCCGCAAAAAGTACGAAATGCCCGAAAGTTATTTAAAAATTACTACGTGATAAAGTTACGCAAGGTTACCACAATTTGCATGAGTGACGTTTGTAAGTTAGGAGATGATTCTTCAGGTAGGCGGAACAAACCAAATAAATGAACAATGAATGGACAATGATTTATAACGGGTAAGAAAGCAGGTGCTTGACATGTCCCGTAGGGTGTTTAGCGTGAAGGGATAATGGAGTCGTCAGTTCGGGCGCTTACAGATGTAACTGCACTGTCGTATAAAGGGAGTATGAAATGAAAATGTATGCACACAGAGCAACAGGGGAGTGGTTATTGTCCACATCATAGGCGAGAAAAATAAAAAAGATAGCAAGAACAACGCTTACTCTTGTACAACTATCTCGAGTCCACAGGATACAGAAATCCAGTTTCTATAGTAGTAGCGTTTATCAAATTTAGTGCAAGGCGTTTGGAGTGACTTATTCTCGAGTAGGGTTATAGCACTATCCCCTGTCTGTTGTGCATTAGTGCCAGCATCTGGTGGTCATGAGCTATAGCACGTAGGGTAAATGTGACAGAGTATCGTCAAGGCGTTTTATGAAAAGGGGTAGGGTGGGTGCATTAATTACATGTTTCGGGAGGGCGTTCCAAGGCTGTGCCACTCGAAGGGAGAAATAGTTTCACCGACATTCCAGGCGGCTGTACTGTGTGACTAACTTAAAATGGTGACGTCTTAGCTGGGTGTTTTGACTGAGTATTAGAAGGGAATGGCATGGGTGGTTGGGGTTTCTCAGGATCTGGTACACCATAATGAGATCGCCCCTTAGACGCCGATAACGTCCACTGTATATTTTGAGGGTCCTCAGCTTGAGTGGGTAGGGGAGGCTGGTCAAACCTCTGACGCTCTTCGTTGCCCTACGTTGTGCAGTATCGAGCGCGGTGAGATGGTGCTTGAGCCAGGGTTGCCACGCTTGAATAGCGTATTCCGCGTGCGGCCTCATGTACGCACTAAGGATTTTTGGAAAGACTGAAGGGTCAAACTTCCCGAAGGCTCTGCGAAGAAGGCCGAGGTACGGTTCGCTTTCTTAGCTGCCTTTTCACTCTGCTTCGAACAACCGAGTTCGTCTTGAACTATCACGCCGAGATCGCACTCGTGAGAAGCCCGCTGTAGCATTTGTGGTCCTAGGCGGTAGTTGTGCATACTCTTGTGCCGTATACTGAGAACTTTGCACTTGGTGACGTTGAAATGCAGCATGTTCTCGATGGACCATGTGTACGCTTTGTCCAGATCCTCCTGTAACACTGTGTGATCCTCCACTGCAGCTATAGTGCGCCATACCTTCAGGTCATCAGCAAATAGCAAACAGTTAGACGATAGCACACTCGCGAGATCATTTATGGAAACCAGGAACAGGCGGGGTCCAAGTACCGGGCCTTGAGGTACGCCGCACTGAACTTCGTTAGATTCCGACAGGTTGCTTCGAACCTTTACATCCAGGTGACGTTGCACGAGAAAGTCTCCTATCCAGCCCAGAACAGGATCGCCGATTCCATATTTCTGGAGTTTGTGAAGGAGAATACGATGGTCTATACGGTCGAGTGCCTTTGAGAAATCCAAGTAGGCCGCGTCGACTTTTGCACCAGCGTCCACAGATTCCGTCCAGTTTGCACAAGCAATCAAAAGATTAGTTGAACAGAAGCGCTTTTAGAGAAATCCATGCTGCTCCGGAACCAGAATTTTGTTGTTCTCCAGCTTATGCAGCTTAAAAAGACCTGGTTTAAGTGTGCATTTCTTTTTCCCAACTGCGGTGAAGCAGCATCATGAATGCAACATCCGCCTCAGCATGGGGCATAGACTGAATCATATCAGTATTTTAAAACACACTGTCCACTTCAGATATTAATTGGTGAAACTGAGATCACAAAAATAATAGGTTCTGGAGGTAGACGAAACTGTGAAAAGAAAATGAAGCGTTTGTCTGTAGTCAAAGTAGTGTCGCTTCACATATCTGAGAATGTCTCAAAACAGGCATACTGGCAATCTTTATGGCCTAAGTTCAGTAGCATACAGTGAGTTAAAGCCACCAAAACGCGGCAATTGATGTGAACCATTTGTCAGCGAAAACTGAAACTCACCCCACAGGGGGCCAAGCTGAGACCACAGTCGTTCTCTTAATGCGGCTCTTCAAAGCGTAAATGACCAACACTTTCCCAAGTTCGGCTTAAATATATTACTACTAGAATATGAAGTGTAACGTATAACCAAAACCAGTGGCTGATCAAATTTTCACACTGTTAATCCCTACTGCCATCCGTCCGGTGGCTGTGGGGAATAAGTGTTGGATTTCTGCTCCGAAGATTACCGGTTCGAGCTCGGGTAGCTTTGATCTCGGGCTCGCAGTCCGCACATAGTTACTGGTGATCGCCTGCTGTGGCCAAGGGCCGACAGGATGCATTGTTATACTGCTGGTACCTGATAAATTACCACCATAATGACAGACGATTAACGTTTCAGTGTCCTGCATATAATGTACTGGACTACATTTCGCACTATACCAAACGTGAAACCACTGACATGCATGCGTCAACTTTTGCAAACTGAACACCTCAAGTGGTCACTGCCTCGTTTAAGGAATACACTCAAAGCAATGGCATATACTGGCAGCTTTAGATGGTGGCGCCGTTTTAGACAGAAGAATCGAATTCTGTTCGCAGTCAAATCGTTGTAAAGAAGACTAAAGTCGAATACTCGTGAATGCTTCCGTACAATGCTTCGGTAGGAGTGATTAGACAGTTTGGCTTCCAGCCTTGGACTTTTTGCACAAGAGGTGTTTGTTGTTGCTGGTTGCTACCTTGGAAGCTTTGCCAGAGTATGATGACTACAGCTACATAACACAGCGGAATTTTCCCGTTTGATCTTCGAATCAAATGGAAGTCGCTGAATGCCTAGTTGTCCAACTTCATCACACGGGCCTAAGTGGTCTGGGCTACATCGCAAGGAGGCTGGACCGTACCGTTGTGCGATGATTTGTGTGCCTCAGCGATCCATTGAGCTATGCTGAGTGGTGCTATTTTTGCACAGTCAGAGCCACTCATACACGGCTGGTCAATGGTTAGGTGCCAGACAAACTCAGCGTCCTGGTCCTCCCGGTTGGGTGTTGTAATGAGGTTGGTTCCTTATTCCTTAAAACGGACTCCTTGTAGCCCAATGCCAAACCCGCTGCCTTGCGGCCAGGTTTTTGAACCAAAGGCTTTGGTTGAGAACCCTAATCGTTCTCCTGTCTAGGCCTGAGCAACATGACAGTATCCTGCCCACGCAATACAATGAATCCTTCCCCAAAAAAATTTCTGATGCTCTGGCCACCGCAGAGGATAATCAACGGTGCCTTATCTGCTGCATCTAGCAAGATGGATGAGGGTTTGGATGCTACTGCTCAAGCCTTCCCGTCTTCTTATTCCCCTTCTTACGCTTTCTCACCTTTAAGGTCCCGTTCCAGCTTCATTTTCATTCCCCCTGTTTTTGCCCTGAAGGGTAGAGTGTACAATGCAGCGGTACTTTCGACCCTAATGTACGGCTGTGAAACCTGGACCCGTGAAAAGGCCAGTTACGTTCGACCACCGGTGCCTTCGCAATTTAGCTCACATCTGGTGGGAACACCGCGTGAGTAACGAGCGTGTTTGACGCCTTGTTTACGACACAGGAAAAGGAAATGAACGGCTCAGCACCGTCATTTCACTCACCAGGCTCCGATGGACGGGCCATGTGTTTCGCATGCCAGCCCACCGACTCCCGCGACGTGCGTTGTTTGCGCGCCGGGGGTGTGGATAGAAGAAGAGAAGGGGTGACCAAGCGATGACTTGGTCGAAGCTGAGCCTTGGGTTGGAGTGTCTCGGCTCCCTGGTTTTGGTCCAAAAACGAGGAACACTTTTGGCTGGATACACATGTTGATATGGCTAGAAGCCGACCTCAGTGGCGTTGGTGCTGTGCGTTTCTTTGTCCCACTCCATCTCTCCTAGCATCCTTCTTCAACCACTATTTCACTATTTAGCGTTATATTATTATGCATAGTAATCTTTTTGTGATGCATAGTAGCCGGCTGGTAGCTTATCGGAACGCTGCCCATCCGTTACCGGTAGCTCAGCCGACTTGCAACTGTCGCATGTTTTTTTCATTTTTTGCTATGTATTGTGGCACAGTAGCTGAGGTGTTTCCCACCTATAGCTAACGTGTATAATGATGATGAATGAGGTGGTCTGTGCAGGTCCGAGCAACGGTTACTCCGCCGAAGCAACTTTGTACGCTGCAAAGAGCTAAATTGAAAATCTAATTCTGTAGGGCTTGGTTGAGTATTCTACGCAAGCGTTAATCTCAAAGTTGGCTGTAGTCGTACATCCTGTGCTCTCAAAGTTAGGACGCAAGTGTTACCCGTATTCCTGCTTGGATACATTTCCGGATATGTAAGAGACCAGCCATTTGACTTCACCTTGTGGATCCATTTTTATTTCACCATTTCGCCTTTCGCCGAAAACTATTTTCCTCGCTGCTCAGTATGGCGCGTTGTATCACCCGTGTAACAAGGTGACTTTGTCACTAGCTCGGTGGCAGCTATGTACCAAGTCTGGACTCTGCTGTGCTTAGCAGTGATTCAGGTTATTTCGCGTTATATACTGCGGTATGATGTGCACTTACCGTTCCTTCACACCATGGGTAACCTGAGCTGGTAAACCCACCTGAGCTTCCTTCTTTCACTTCCCTTTAAATGTACGGATGGATTGGAAACAAGAACTTCCCTTAATATTTCCAAACAGGAAAAAGAGACGTAACTTGTGCACTGACTCTGTTCTTTCGTGAATGCTCACCATGCATAAGCTTGGTAACAATAATAGTTAGGAAACGAGATCATAGGAGATCGATAACTAGTCAATCGTGGGCCAGTCGGTGAGCCTCGTACTACCGGGGCAAGTTCAGGTTCGCACGCAACTGTTTGTGCACTCAAAGCAGTGGTTATTCTAGATCAATGACAATTGCCCAGAGTAGGCCAAGAATGTGGGACCGCTGATTGAGCATTAAAATGGTGAATAATTATTTATCGGAACTGACACGATGGCCGGTACTCAGCATGTGCTTTCTTATTGCCGTGATAGCTCGACTTCTCTATTCGCTCGATTCCGCTGTCATCGATGCCATCCGGCTGCGTAACCAGTTTGGAATGTTTTCATTGATGTTGGCACCAAAACTTCGGTTATTGAGCCTGTCGGCAGAAGAAGTTGACCGTGACGCTGAACTTACTGTGGCAGCACGATACACCGAGTATCCAGCTACCACACTCATACGACCTGGGTTCCTACCCCACATTGTTTGCATGTAAGTGATCGACGAGAATGTACGAAATAGCTATTTCATCACATAGCTTATAACTTCTGCCTTTTCTGCTCGCTACATATTACTCAGTAAAGCAGCAGATTCTCTCACATGCGCTCACTTCAGGGTCCCCGTTCTTGGGACTTCGACTTTACTGCTTTAATCTGTATTTACGTATAGTGCCTGGGTAAAATTGTGTACAGTAGTACTTTTTACTCTAGCTTGGGTGACACTGGTGTTAACCGAATGCAAATTGTCGTTACTTAGCCTTTAGTAAATAAAACAATCGAGATTTCTCGAAGGTTTTGAGAATTGTGAATTCACTGTGAGGGGAGGTGACGCGCTTGAATCACTTTCATGTTATGGGCTATGGTGAAGTTATCCATTCACAGAAGTTTGCATTCACAGTATGAGGTCAAAACACGTTACAACACGCAGTAGTTCGATATGGAGGAAGTAGTTCTATTGGCCAACCCCTTCCGGCCACTCATTCGGTCGGTGACGACATTGCAAAGACAACAATGTAAACTACAAAATCGATTAGCATTATCGCATAACTAGTTTTTAAGCATTGTGGAACACTCAGCACTTCGCTTTTCTAAGGGAAAGGAAATGTGGGCGTACTGATTGAAGTTAAACCTCAGCAGGAGTCCTCAAGGCCTACTAGCCACAGAATCGCTTTTCATGAAAGACGTAGCAACAGAGCTAAACGCTTCATTTCCCCCGAGTATATCGTTTTAGTATTTTACTTATGCTGTACCGAATAACCACAGGCGTTAGAATTGACGTGATAATGTCGACTCACATGATCATCTCCAGAATGAACAGATCTCAGTGACACCGGTCCGGGCTGTGTTCGCATTGCACCTTTCCCATAGATTCTTCTATATCCATCCGTGTTAAAAGTGTGTTCGTAGACGCGGAAATCTAGGTGAAAGAAAAATTAATGTATTACGTTTTGTATCAAGTGTGTATGCTTAGGGATAATCAAGTAATTTTGCTAAAAAAAACATCATGCATATCATTACGGTTATTGATAAGGATTTGTGCATTGCGTTGGATGTGACGGCTGTTACATGACTAAACCGCCAGCCGCCGTTAGTTTTGAACAGGCCCAGCGAGTTAGATGACCCTTTCGTTCAGTCGAACGGCATGCCAGCCAAAGATCTTAGCGTTCAGCTGGGTATTCGATGAAACTAATGGGCGACAAACCGTGTCAGTGTGATTGTCTCGTCAACAAGTGCGGGGACAAGACAAAATGGCTATTACAGGCACTTGGGAAGTTCAAAGAAAGAAAAAAGAGAAAAACTCACCACTGACAGAAATCTTGATTTTATCTTCGCATTCCTTAGAATCGTGGATAGGTGCCGTACTGGTTCGCATGACCGGAGGATGGAACTGAACTTGGACATTCGGTGGTATCAAACCACGATCAAATAGGTCCAACGCACACATCGGTCTTTCTAATCCTCCTGTAGTTACTACAGAATACTGCAAACACAAAGTGAAACAGACATTGTTTACTAAACTTCTCAACGTTCTTCATGAACACGATGCGTGATACGCAGTTTCCGTTTGTAGAACCGGTTGCCTTGGAGTTGACATTGGGTGGATTGGTCACTGGGACTTTAGCTGTGACAAATATGCATTGAGTGCTGCTGGCTCTCAACATTGTTTCGTGAGTAAATCCGTACTTATTTTCACTCTTTAAGTTAAGTGAGCAAATTAAGATCGGTGTCCAAGACATATTACTGTCATATTTCAGCAGGCTAAGAACAGATAAGCAGACATCAAGCACTATGAAAGTCAAACGAAATTACAATTCTGGTAAGTCTTTCTTCCCAGTAGTTCACAAGCAACATAATAGAGCATCTCCGTTGAGGCAGTGGGACTTACTTGCTGCAAACACTATGGTTGCTGTATACAGAAAGCGAAGTGTTAAATTGCCCGTTTTCTAGCACTCGAGTGTAATCTTATCTTGCTGTTCCGACATGAAAGGACTAGGATGAAGGAGCTTGGCGTGAGGCAAATCAGTGATGAGTGACGTTTATTCATTTCTGGTACTCACGAGTAGCAAGAATTTAGTTGTAATGCTGGTAGGGCTTTCTTCCCAGTAGTTCAAAAGCTACATAGTAGAGCCTACTCAGAAAAGCACCAGACTCGTTTCGCCCTATTTGGGCTTCTCAGTGGTGCGCATACCGTCGGTCCTCTAAGGAGGATCGAACCCATGACTCTAAGAGGCAGATGCCAACTAGCCAGCAGCTTAAGCCCCCGAGACATGAGGGACGTTGGTTAGACTACGTACTTTGCAAACTAACTGGGATATAGCACCACCGGGAAGAAAGCCTTACTAGAATTCCGATAGAAATCCTGCTACTCGTGAGTTAATATAAATTAAAAATAGCCTCTCCTAGTTTCAAATGCTATGGATATAGGGTCTAGAGAGAAGACGTCATCTTGCAGGCTAAGCAGTGACAGTGACAGTGGAAGATAGGTGGTGCATATCCCAGTTAGCTTGCAAATGATGTAGCCTATCTAACGTCTCCCAAGGCTCAGTGGTTTAAGCTGCTGGCTAGTTGGCATCTGCTTCTAGCGGTCATGGGTTTGATCCTCCTTAGAGGACCGATGGAATGCGTACTATTGACGAGCCCCAATAGGACGAAACGCGTCTGGTGCTTTTCCGGAGTAGGCTCTACTATGTAGCTTGTGAACTACTGGGAAGAAAGCCGTACCAGAATTACAACTAAAAGCATACTACTCGTGAGTAATAGACATTGCAGTTATTTTAAAAGGAAACGGAGCCCAACACATAGAAATCCAATGTTTCTTCAGTAGGCAAGATACAACCCGGTTGCCAAAGCCGATATAAAGAGTGAACTAAGTGGACAGTAGCCCGATCATTTGGCTGCATAGCATACCCACAAAGCAGTGGAGCGAAGTAGGAGAGTCACGCCAATTGGGTACCCAGGGTTGATTACTCAGTTCAGACGATTATCATTTGGCCCATTACCGAACAGGGACCAAATTCTCTCTACAAATTCAGCATCACATTGCTGTAATACATTGCTTCACCGGAGTGAAGCAAGGGTCCGTGACTCTATGTAGCGGTGCGTCACATTCGCCAAGTCACAGTGTTGCTAAACAGACGTTCGTGACTTTTAACCTAGAGAGAGTTTGCCAGACGGAAACCAACCATGTTCTGGAACACCGCCACCGAACGCTTAACAGGGACGGGATAATGCAGAACCACCGCATGTTTGCTCGGCAAGCCAACTGCAGAATACCAACAATACTCTTCTAGGTATTGTCACAAACGTTACCTGCGGTGTACGGTGGCTACTGGTAAAAGTGATTTCAGATTATCTCCAAGTGTCGGATAAGGTGCCGCACTACCTCTTCCTGGTGCCAGCTAGGTGGTACTGTTTTATCCCGTCCCTACTAATCGTTCGGCTGCAGTGTTCCAGGACATGGTGGATTTTCACCTTCAAGCGCTCTCTCTATTAAAGGCCAGGAATATCTGTTTAACAACACTGCTACGTGGCGAATGTCAGTTGCCACTAAACGAGATAACTGTCTCTTGTTGCAATCTGGTGGAGCATTGTAATTCAGCAACGTGATGCTGAAATCGTAAAGAGAATTGAACATCTGTTTGGTAGTCAACGATAGCCATTGAAATAGTTCAAGGTACCTTCACAAAGCGTATATTTGGTTATTCAAACACTCTTACAAATAGATAGATGTAATGAGTTGAATCTTGATCTACTGTGGTCACGAAGATTGCGTTTAAATCCCTGTTTCCTTCACAAAGTTGAAAAATTTCTAGTCATGAGTTGCGAGACAGCGGACATGTTTTACCATTACCTAGATTCAGGACTAGTCTATGGAAATATTTTTACCTTTTTAGGTGTGGCTCAATTTGAAACAAGCTGCCAAAAGACAACAGATTTCTTGAATATTTGCGCGCATTTAAGAAGATGCTAAAGATCTAGCTGTAGACTAACAGAGTGAAATGCATTTTAAAAATTCAAATTAACGATGAAAAACGGTATAACGTAAGTCTGCATCATACAGGATACATGGGAACATCGACTGAAAAATTGTTATAACTCATGCGCCAGCGACATCACAATCTTTTAGTTTAAGCTGTTGCAACGCTTCACATGTTATTCTTCAACTCAACCTCTTATGCGATTTTATTCCACTCGAACTTAATTCCCACCAACTGTCTTCTGATTTAAAATCAAGCGTTACAAGGATTTATTTGTATGAAGACAGGTACTATTTGTATAACCCCCACCTCAGTTTGACTAGTAGGTAATATTTATTCTGCGATTCCCTTCGCTACTTTTGTTCTGTAATGTTAAGCATTTAATTTGTTCCAGGGAATGAAGTACAGAAACATATACCAAATTTCCGTGCTTGGCGATATCGGTTTCTCTACTGTTCGAACATCCTCTACTATTGATAATGCTGGAAATTCTTTTAAATACCTAGTTGCCTATAGATAAATCAGTCAATGAATTGTCTTCGGCTGTCGAGCAGCATAAATTATTGTGCGTATATATATATATATATATATATATATATATATATATATATATTTGAAGAGTCGCGCCACACGGGCTGGTATCGATCGACATTTTTTGCGCTACATTCTCGGAAATACGCCCATTCGTTTCGGCTCGCCGAGTTCTGTCGAACGGGATTTATATTTGCGCAGTAAATCCTCCGTCTCGCTATTTCATCCCAACCGGCGTCTTCGGCTATTCGTACATTAAGAACCACGCTTGAAAGCTTTTTTTCAAGGTAATCTCAGTGAATTTAAGAAATCATTCTACAGAGCTTTTCTAAAGTTATCAGGTGACATATAGCTTAGTACTGTGCACCACCATGCACCATAGATACTGGCTATTTTGTCCTTTCATCTATATTCCTTCGTGCACCCTACCACACGAAGTGTTTGTGATTCCATACACGCTTGCGCCAGGACCCATCACCACCAAACCCGGACAGCGACGGTTACCGCTAGCCGGACTAGTCAATGCACGCAGCCCACAACGGTGCGACCGGCGTGATTTAAAGTGCATACGAGTCACTAAGCCATGGGAAGGCGAAGTTTATCAGCGGGTCCACGCGTGAACAAAACAACGAAGGTCAATCATGGCTCAAGTAAGCGGAGAACTGTCATCACAAAAATCACGTGCCCTTTGTGTGCAAATTCTTACGACGAAGTGGACGTGAACTCAGAACTTGGCGGAAACCGCAGCGTAATAACAAATAGTTTGTGGTTCTGTGATGCGTGTTCAGATAGCCCACTAGCCTAGGTTATCCGAACTCTCAACGCGAGGTGTGAAATGTTGGCTGTTGCGTCATCCGAACAGAAAGAATTGGTCAAGGCTTTGGGAGCGAAAATCGCTGAACTCGAGTTGCAGCTTAGTGTATTAAGTAGCCCTAACCCCAGACCTACCAAAAGACCAAAGTTATCCATTAAAAATATTACACGTTCCGGCGAAAAACAAGCACCATTAGCGATAAACAACTGTGATGCCAAGCCAGTTGAAAATTCTATAAAATCTTCTGTTGTACCGCAAGGCGTAAAGAGTTATGCACAAATTGCACGGTCATCGCTATTAGCTGGGCAGCACATTACAAACTGTGTGTATAACGTCGTTGCACAGGAGAATTCTTGCTGCAGCCTTGACTTGTCTTCCCCACAAAACAAGACCAACACTCCCACACGACAAACCGCCACCCAAAAAGAACTGCAACAAACTAAATTACTACGCAACCAACAAGCGATGACAGTCATATGTTCAAACGTACCAGAACCCACCAGCGAGTCGTTAAAAGGTCGACAAGCCGAAGAGCAAAATTGCTGGACTGAGATAAGCTGCGCACTAGGACTAAACGTTCTCCCAACTAGTCTTACACGTCTGTCACGAAACCCACCGTCTCCTCACGTAGGGGAACCTCGGATACTGCGAGTAACATTTGGCAACACAAAGGACTTGGAGGATGTTCTCTTAGCAAGCCACAGTCTACCGAACTCTTCTCTCAGTGCCCGCATTTTTCCAGAGATGCCATGGAAGGAAAGACAAAAGCGAAAATCCGACCCAACCGCGTCTAGTCAAAATGTAATGAAGAAAGTGGTGTTGGTTCATGGTGTGCCCGAACTGAAACATGGCGACACCAGTGAAATACAAAAACACGATATTGATGAGTGGCGCTACATCACAGAACTCTATGGAATGCAGAATGTTGTGGCATTCGACGTCAGCCGCTTAGCTTCCTCCCCAAACTATCAAGGGAGCGGGCCGAAAATTTTGAAAGTTACCTTGGCTACGCCGGAGATGGCATCAATGGCAATTAACGTGTGGTACCACAGCAGAAGGCTAAGACCACCAGAAGTACGACTGAGACCATTCCTGCAAGCATTACAGACCACTGGTACAGTTGAGTCAGACCTGGCTTTTCCGACCATGGACCAGCCA